AACTCTGTGTCTCCTGAACTTCCGCTGCTGTAGGAGTGAGAGGTATGCGACACCGACATTCCTGGCAAGGTCGTTTAGCCACTCAAAGTAATAGCCTCTGCACTAGTCACTAGTCAGACTGGACATGCCAAACTGGGTGGTGGTATGTCAACACATTCCAATTAACAAAGTATCAACTAGGTCTCAATCATACAATAAGTAGATATAGCTGCTGTGGGAAAACGTGCACCTTCTCTTCATGCAAGAACTTATATCCTACTACGACTTGTTCTGAACACATAACCAAGAATGCAAATTGTTGTTCTCTGGCAATCGACTCCCAAGTCCAACAGGATGCTTCCCTCCTGAGCCGCTGCTCATTCCTGGCCAGAAATCCCAAATGCAACATGCCACAGCTGGATCTTAGTCGCTCAAACTCCCTACCACATTTTAAAATGCTAAGAGAAACCAATACACAAGCAAGAAAGAAGCCTCAACTCAGCTTCTGTTACAATCAAAGACTCATATTGTTTCAGCACAAAGTCGTCAAACCCATGTTTATAAAATCAAACAAAACCACTCTCCTGAGCTTCCGCTGTTGTAGGAGTGAGAGGTATGCGACACCGACATTCCTGGTAGCTTTGTTTCCCCAACCAAAAAGAGTTGCCGCACAAAACATAATGCACTTGACAACTTGACACCCCGAAAGCAATTCTGATAAACCCATTCCTGTTAACAAACTATCCTGTTAGTGTAATGAAAGCCTTGCAGCAAAAGGTTTCCTTCTGTGGTGTGTACATATACCACTTATGAGCACTTGACCGAGAAACAATGCAATCTCGCTTTGTTTGGCTCTCTGGCAATCAACACCTAAGTCCAACAGGAAGAATCCTCTCCTGAGCCTCCACTCACTCCTGGTCAGAAACCCCAAATTGAGCATACCAAAGCTGGATGTTGGTCGCTAGATTTCCCATCAAGGTGCAAATACTATATGTATATACTGACAATACACGAGCGAGAAAGGAGCCTCAACCCAGCTTCTACTAAATCCATGCTTCCATGGGTGCAGGCAGCACAATGTCGACAAACTACACCGATGAACATCAACAACGACCAAGATACAAGCTTTAGTCATTCACATTCAACAGATTTGGCACTTTGTCAAAACATGACTACTCAGGAGCAAACATGAGCGCTTTCCCCAAACAAGGCTTGCATCCTCTTTGAAGGCCCTCCACTTTCTCTTGCATACTGTCCCGTGGACGGATGTCCTCCGCTTTCGCCAATTCCTGCCAAGGAATTCTTGACGGTTGCTTGGATCCAGCTCGAGTTGTAAAGAAAGACATCTGGACACTCTGACTCATGCACATGGAGCTGGAACAAAAACTGTCTGTAAAGGAAGCATGTGTGCTTCTTTCTGCGATTCTTCAGAGGGAGAGGCAAAAGGAGATGGACGCTTTAATGTGAAATCGGCAATCCTTCTTGTCATGCGATGTCTGAGGATTTCTTACCATCAATTGTCTCAGTGTACTCAGTGTACTCATAGTCTCATGTCCTCCACTGTTGTAGGAGCTAGATGTCTGGGATGATGTCATTCCTGGCGTGAATCTGACACATATATCAGGAAGAAAAGGCAGCGGCAACGACAATACAAATCAGCAAATACCACGACAAAGACAACGACCGCTACCGCCACCATCACCAGCATAAAAACTGCATTGAAGAGTCTGGTGACCAGTATTGAAATGAAGGTGCCCACCCTAACTTGCTTAAAACGCGACATTGTCGGCGATTGCTCATTAATCAGTCTTGTTTGGACACCAAGCAGCACCTCCATTGCTCGAGCCATACTCGACTCCTGTCCACCAAGGCTTTCAACAATGCAGTCGTGACAACTAGCTGTGAAAGCAGAGTCGTCTCTGGCTCCTGGCCGTACTACTAGGAGCAAGGACGCTACTAGGGGCTCCTGGCATCGCTACTAGGAGCAAGGATGCTACTAGTTACTAGGGGCCAGGCTTACTGCTAGCCCAGCAATTTCCCCCACGTCGGGTGATGTTTGGTGCGCGTCTTCACAGCAAGTCCTCCAGTGGTATAATCACCTGTCACTCTTGCCACGAGAAAGAGCTTTGGGCTGAGACCCAAACGATTGCCAGGCGGTTTTCACCGCAGCACCAGAGCGGTTTTCACTGCTTTGTTGCTTGTTTCGACTCATCAACTTGCCGCACTCTCGAGAACACGGATGGTTTTGTGATGATTTTCATCTCCTGAGAGAGCTTGTTTCGCTCAGTCTCATCTTCCCATCCCAGTTGTCGGGTCAACAGGTCCCCCTACCTCCACTTGATCCATAGTCGGTCGTCTCCATTCCTGGTCAGATGGGACTGCACCATGTCCTTTCTTGTATCTATCGTACTTGGCTGTGGCGAAACGCTGGTGGTTAAGCCCTCTCAACTTGGATGGTCAAACATGACATTAATTCAGTTGATGCTGTGAAATCAGCTATCTTCATAGCCAATCACAAGCGGTGCCAGGATCCTCCATTGTTGTCCGAGCCAAAGCCGGAGTCCATTCCTGGCAAGATCTTGGTCCTTTGTCCATTTGCAAGTTGTTTTTGGCCATTACAATCAAATGTTGAAGTCGTGGCGATTTTCTATATCTGAAGAGTTTCCATTGGGATTTGAATGTATGGAAGTCGTGGCGATGTCGCGTTTGGTTGGAGAGAAGGCAGCAGCGGCAAACAAAACGCCGATTAAGCAAAACCGCGACCCCACAAGTGGGGAGACAGGAGGAAGAACAAGTAAGGAGACAAGGCAGCAGCGGCAAACGCCGATCACAGCAACCACGCGGGGAGACAAGAAAGAAAGAATTAAGGAAAGGGGATGTACGCACATACATGATGAGGTAATTAGAGGTTTCTGTTGAAGGTGCTTGTCAAACAACAAACCGACAAAAGAAGCCG